TTGCTCCTAAAACTGTGCGCTTGCGGGACTGCGGGGGTGATCGTGAAACTACAGCCTAGAGGGCAAAGCCAACCAGACTGCTGCCCAGATTCTCCTCCCTGTGCTTGCCAAATCCTAAGCTCCCATCCACCACTTTTCCGCAAAGCCTCCTTAATTCAACCTCTTTCCCTTGGCCAGACGCTGGCCACTCGCAGCTCACTCAATGAGCTGCCCCCTCTCCAGCAAGAGAGAGTCATAAATTCTCCTTAGGACGGGCCAGAGCACTGGGTGCCGACGTTTCAATGGTGAACGAGTCGACGGCGCCAGGTTTGCTTCCAGCTCACTCGTATGTAGGGAGCCTCGGCTACAGTGAGTCATTAGCTCGTTCTCCGGTTGCGTTTCTGGAACCCCGAGTGTTTTGCTGAAGGGGAGGAATTTTTCCCCAGGAGTTCTCTGACTCACTGGAGGCGGGCGGGAGGGGTCCAGGCCTCTTCCACACTCGCTGTGGAGTTTGTTGCCACATCAGCAGGAAGGACTGGTGCCTCTCAGAGTCCTCTCGCGATGCTTTGGTTCCGACACCTCCAGGGTCCCTGCTGCCACATGAGGTCCAGGTGCCACCACCCGGGCTCAGCGCTGGGCTCTACCCCTGCAGTCTGCCCCTGGGACAGTGTGGTCCCGGGACCCCCCCGTCACCGTTCAATCGATCAGTAATCAAGAAGACAGACGGAAGGAGCCGCTGGCTCCGTAGCCTGTAGAGCCCATCCCCCATGTTCGTAGTAACGACCAGTGAGACCCTCAGCACGGCCGGTCCAATGGCGAGCGCTGTCAGTGAGGCTGGAACGGCTGGTGCGTGGGCAGAGAGGTCTTACTGTGTGCTGGACAGATCAGCACTCGTCTTGTAGGCCCAGATCTCACACACACACACGCACGCACACACATGTGTGCACACACGCATGCACACATACACACACGTGCACACGCACACGTGCACATGTACACACATGCACATGCACACACATGCACACATACACACATGCAATGCACACATACACACGTGCACATGCACACACATGCACAAATGCACACGCACGCAAGCACACACACACAGCTCTAATAGAGTGAGCCCAGCACTCATGAGACCTTCCATGTGACCTGAAAACAAGTGTGGAAGCACCCAGGGGCAGTTGACCTGGGGCGGAGTAGAGCTAGGGAAAGACCCTGTGAGTCACCCTCTCCCTGGGTCGTCACGTGGGGAGCGACACGGCACCGGCTGTCAGGGCATCCGCAGGGCCAGCGGGCACACGAGGGAATGACAGTCCCAGCCGCCCCAGAGGACAAGCTTGCTCAGCAGCGCTGTGCCGCCCTGGGACGGTGAGCACCCCGTCGGGGCCACTGAGGCGTGAGCTGGGCGACCCACAGCGGGGCTCCTGCAGGGGAATCAAAGCGCTGGCCAAGACGGCCCTGACGTCTCCTGCGTGTCTCTGTCTAGTTTGATGGAACCAGCACCCCACCCCCTCCACTCCCCGGAGTTGGCGCGTCCTTGACGCATGAACCGAGAATGATCCTTAGGGAAGCTGAAGTGGGCAGTTCCAGGCAGTGTGGACACAGACCTCCGTGCAGTCTGAGTTCCAAACCTGTTAAGGTCAGGCCACCTCCCTCTGAGACTTTTGGAGGAGAGACCAGCGGGGGAGATGCAGCGGTTTGCGTTTTTCCAAGATCCGGCGATTCAAGCCTCCAGCACGCGTGTGGGGAATGCAACGGGGACAGCAGCTCAGGAGGCAGTGAGACCAGTCCCTCACAAGACACCGCCAATCACACACGGGTCCCTGAGGGCCTAGGCTGAGCCTAGCTGGCCCTAGGCAGCTGTGCACGTGGCCTGCCTCTCTGAGGCCCGCCCATCTGCCTGGGTGCCGCCGATTTGGGTGTTGTGCGGGATGATACTGGCTCGGGGCGTCCTCACCGCCCATCTCTGTGGGGTTTCTGGTCTGGGCTGCGCCTGGCGGCAGGAGCCTCCATGGCCCTGGGAGGGGAAGCCGTCTGCAGGCTGAGCACAGAGGAAGAGGGTGCTCACCCTTGGAGACGTCACGGGGCAGCCCCCTCCAGGGCATGTCAGGGAGGCTGCGGACGGGGGCGCCCTGCTCTAGCCTCTGCCTACTCCCAGCGTGGATGAGCGGTTGATCAGAGATTCTGAGACAAACCACAGGAGGCCAGAGAAAAGCAGTCACTGCCCGAACAGGCGGCTGCTCTTCCTGCGACACTTGCCGCTCGGTTTAAATCCTCTGCCTTCCTCTGGGTGTTAGCGTCGTTCCATTTCCCGAGCTAGAAGTTGCCCGCAACGCGTGTTACGTGAACCTCTCTCGGGCCTCCTCCCTCTAAGAGGCAGGGACGGCTCTGTGCAGGCAGGAATCGCGTCCCCAGGCCCCTATGGTGAGGGTCGGGCCCAGTGCCGCCCATGAGCTGCTTACCGAGTGGCTGCAGATAGCCAAAGTCCACAGCGGGGGAATGAGGCTGGCACCATGCAGAGAGGAGTGAGAGAGTTTCGTGCCTTGCTCCGGGGAGGGAGAAGAGAGGAACACAGCAGCGTGTCCAGGGGGTGCCTGGGTCCAGGGGACAGAGAACTGTCTCCTAACAGTAGCTCAACCACCCTGCAGCCCGAGCCGCAGCCTCCCCAAAGCTGCCAGACCTGTTTCTTGCGGCAAAGCCTTCCTCTGACTGCTTGTTCTGTTGGACGGCAGGTCTTCAGACCTGTCTTCCTGGCTTGCGTTATCCAAGAAACAAGTCCTGGTGATTCTCTCATGGGTCTTCCGTCCGCCCCTCTGGCCTGTTCTCACATTCACTCTGGTGGAAAGGAAGCGTCCCTGGGGCCAGGGGCTGCTCCTGTACCCCCAATCCAGTTGCCCACAAGAGTCAGAGCTGAGACAAACACATCAGCCCATTTTCCAACTTGCATCTCCAAACGCTGTTAAAGAAAGCACAGCAAACAGTCGGCCTGCGACGCTGGGGCGGCTGCAGGAGCCCCAAGTAAACGACGCCAGAGCTATTTATTGGCACGCTGATCCTGCCAACAACTAATACCAGAGCCAGTGAGAAATTCATGCTCGAAAATGTGAATTAGATCGCTCTTGCAGGCTGCTCCTTGGCAGTCTGGCCCTCCCCTGGCGCGCTGATCTGATGTGTGCGTGTAAGCTGTTCTCAGTTCTTACGGGGTGCTCAGAGCACGCGGCTGCTCCTCGGCCAACTGAACGTGCGCTAACAGGCAGGCCAGAGACGGACCTGCCGCCGAGACCCCGAGACGCAGGGGCAAACATAACCGCATGAGGATGAGAGAGGTTTGCAGAACAAAGAAGGCCGTGCACTTACTGCAAAACCGTCCTCCAAGCAGTGGACGTAGTGGGCGAATGCCGCCGTTCTTGGCGAGAGCTGGCTTCCTGACTGCTCCCTGGGCTTGCTGGTTTCCTCTGTTCTGACACGGGGTTTACGTGTGATGAGAAGCACCGGGGTGGGTAGGTCAGAAGGGAACCCCGGGCTGCGTGTGCAGGCAAGTGGTCTATGAGCTTGCATGTCCTTCCTGGCATCCGGCCTGTTAGGGTCGTCTGCCTTTGTGTGTGATGGATCAGCTCCCCTGGCTGCCCACCCATGGGTGCACAGCCACCCATGGGTGCCCCGGACCTGAGGAGGACGCTGAGAAGGCGAGCGTGTTGATGTGTGAAGGCGGAGTCGCGAAGGTTCGGGCTGTGCGTGGTCGGACAGCCGCTGGGACCGCACACACGTCCTCGGCGCAGTTCCTGGCTGCTGGTTTTGAAAACGAGGTCCCGGCTCCTGACGTGGGTTCTTCCTGCGTTCCGGGAAGGAAGGCGCAGGGAGGCCAGGTCTCAGGCCGTTCCAGCTGCTGTAACAGACCGCACTGCTCCCAGGCCCAAAGGCCGGCAGAGCCAGCGCGCCGGGAGCACCTGCTCGCTTGCAGGCGGTGCCCCCCCACGTGTCCTTACATGACAGAAAGCGCCAACAGGTGCTCCGGGCCTCCCAGGAGGGTGCTAACCCCATGACGAGGGCTGTGCCTTTGTGACCTAGGGGCAGGGTTAGGATCCCAACCTCTGGGTTCAGGGTGGACACCAGCATTCAGACCACAGCATGCAAGAGCCAGATGTCTCGGCTCCCAGTGTCTGCGCCCACGGAGAAGAGCAGGGGCGCCCTGGAACTGCTTGGCCTGACCTGGCCCGGCTTCTCCATGTCCCGGTAACCATGCCTGTCGCCGAAGCAGGCAGCAGCTCAGTGCCCCTCTCTGCGCCGAGGGATGGGCTGCCGGTCGGGCTGGACCTCATCCATCAGCCCGCTCCTTCAGCCTGGGCCGTCAGTGAGTCCAGGGGTCGTTTCGGGGTCTCGGGGCGACTCTGCCTGCCCTGCAGATCCGCAGTAATGAGCCACGCCATGTGAGCCTGGCCGTGGCAGGATGCCCACTCAGCCGGAGCATGCAGTGGCCGCTTCGGAAAAGCAATGCATTTTCTGCGCGCGATGCTTGTCCCAGCATCACCGTACCTGGCAGAGAGCGAGGGCCTCAGAGTGGCGGGCACACAAGACATGCAGGACCAAGCAGGGCTTTCACTGGGCTGGGGCAGGACCCAGGCAGTCACTGGCTGTTTCCAAAGTGCCCGCCCCTTCCGGTGCCAGAGCCAGACTTCCGTTCCTGCGGCAACAAGATCCTGTGGCTGACCCTGCTTCCTTCTCAGTCCGCTGCTCTGGGCTGCCCACCTGTGCCTGTCTGGAGAGTCCTGGATCCGCGTGTGGTTGGGATGAACCCCAGCTTCTCCAGGTGGAAGCAGGGGTCACTCACCTGCTTTGAGGATAAATGACAAAACCCCTTCTACTTTGGCCAAACTACAAGGCAGACACTGATATGATTTTTAAAAAACACTAGAAGTTATGTTTTGCTGTCTAAAAAAAAAAAAGGACAGCCCAGGTAGCACCTTGGTAAGCCCAGGGGCAGGGCTGTGTGTGGCTAACACGCGTGTCTTCTCTCCCAGGCCAGTGAAAAGCGCGTCCACCTCGTGGTGTCCCGCCACGTGCGACAGCAGAGCCCCGATGTCTGTCAGGAGGCCGGCTGGAATGGCGGCGACGGGAGCCACGCTCACCAGGTAAGGCCGGCCGCGGCGCGTCTGCTGCACCCGTACAGGACGATTTTCTGGGAAGGCTGCGTAGCTCAACGCTTCAGAGTTGTCGCTGGGCTTTGTCACACATGGAAACACCATGCAGTCATAAAACATGAAGTCCAGGGTCCGTCTTTGAGCCCTGGTGAGATGACAGGTGTCTCCCGTGTGCGCAGGGGAGGGGAAGGTGTGTTGGCCGGGGGAGGGCTTGGGAAAGCTGACCCGACAGCGTCCAGTGCCAGCCACATGGGTGTCATGTGTTTACCAAGAGTCAATCTGTTTTCCATTCGCTTGGAAGGGAAGCGAGAGGGTTGCTTGGTCTCAGAATGTCCCCGATGTCCTCTTGCTGTTTTCAGTGTGTGTGTGCTTGTGCAAGGGTCTAGGAGGATCACTGAAACACTGCAGGCTCCTGGGGCGTTAGGGAGCGGTGGGGACTGGGGCCAACTGGAGCGCACAAGTCCACGCCTTCAAATGCAGTGCACCAAGCAGACGCGTCCGTGGCTGGGCGCCATCCTTGCGGCCATCAGCGCACAGCCGCCCTTTAGATAAAGTGACTCGGGCCAGCCTGCGCTCCACCCGGGTTCTGACCTCTCTGTCTGGAGGCTGTCTGAGCAGCACAAGCCCTCGGTCCGGAGCAAGAGTCTGGAGCCGGCACCTCTCCGGGAAGCTGCTCCGTAGCACATCGCTGGTGATTTCGGGAATGGTCTCCCAGGGAGCCCCTTGTTCCCAGATCAGCCGCGGGGAGCAGGAGGTGCCCTTTCCTCCCACGTGGTGGGGAGCGACTTCTCCACTGAGTTTCTGAGCCACAGATGTAGGAAAAAATGACCTGACATTTTGGGGTTGGAGCCTCTGTGCTCTGTTCTGTTCACTGCAGTCGCGCGGTGAGACCCCCACGCTCCAGCCAGCCACGCCCCAGTCCAGAGATTCCAGGCCCGCTTGCAGGAGACACCCTAGACAGAGCCAGCACGTCGGGCTAAAGTGTTGCACAGATGTGGACTCCCCACGGCCCCGCCCTAGCGAACACCATTAGCAGTTTCACATTACCCTGACGGTATTTGCCGGTAGAAAACTAGTTATTGGCTTAGTTAACGAATTAAAAGTTTGCATCTAATTAACTAATTGGAGTTGGGTGAACTAGAATGGATTACATCCTAATCCAGTAAACCGGGGCGGGCACCTGCAGCAGCAGTCACTGGGGACGGCCACGCCCACGGCGGCACCAAGTCCCCGCTCCTTGCCTGTGCACCAGTTTCCTGTCAGTGCGCACCCCAGCAGGCAGCAGGTGATGGTGCCAGGACCTAGGTTCACAGTAGGGACCTGGACTGAGCTCCCAGCACCTGGCTTTGGCTTTGTCCCTGCCCTGCATTTAGGGAGTGACAGCAGATGGAAGACCTCTCTCTCGGCCATCGAAATACAACGCCAAAAAAGCTGAGGTCCATTGAACTACTAAGAAGGAGCCCCCCGCAGAGCGCTTTTACCATTCCTTCCACTTTCCCATCACGCAGCACTGGAAGTGCGGGAACCTCTGACTCCGTGTTTCCCGCTGCCTCGTCCTGAGTTGAATTCCTGGAAGCGCACGGGCCAGCTGGCCGCGTGGGAAACCATGATCCTCACGGTTCTGTGCAGCTCAGTCTGCCGACATGCTGCTCCCGGCCCAAAAGAGGGGGCAGATAACAGAAAGCAGTCACGAGCAGCTGTTTGGGGTTTCGTTCTTTTTATGATCCGAGTATGTCTGCTTTAGGAATTGACTCTTTCTGGCTTTTTGCAAGTAGGCTTCTGAATGACTCCAAAAATACCAAAGAAGGGAAGCCCAGCTCGATGGGACAGAACCTTAGCCAGCGGAGAGTGGAGGGGTGAGAGGCAGCCCTCGCAGGAGCGTGGCCACTGTGCGGGCGAGGAGAGGCACCGTGACCGGAGGGAGCACCAGGGGCTGTCACGGGACGGGGCAGCGATTCCTGACGCTGGCGTGCAAGGGCCACGGGTAGGCTGTCACGGTATTGTTTGTAATTTAAGACGAGAGAGATCTTCCCTCTGCTGCTTCACTCCCCAGATGGCTACGAAGGCTGAGTCGGGCCAGGCTGAAGCCAGGATCCTGGAACCCCATCCTGGTCTCTCACATGGGTTCAGGGGTCCAGACACTTGGGCCATCTTCCGTGGCCTTCCCAGGTGCATTAGCAGGGAGCTGGATCAGAAGCAGAGCAGCTGGGCCTGGAGCCGGCACTGCCACATAGACGCCAGCATCGCAAGCAGCGACTTCGCCCGCGGCGCTACCATGCCGGCCCCCTTTCTATTTGTTTACATGTCTGCAATGTTTTTATTCAAAATATCCAAGATAGGTATTCTAAAATCTAAGTAGTTTGCGTAGATTGAGTGATAAAGCCTCGTGGGAGCCCATGATGGTTTTTAGCTGAAAAAAGTAGGGAGTGGAAGTAGGGAGGAAATGTCTGCAGAGAGTTCACGCAACACACATATTTGGAAACCCTTGTTATGCTTTCCAACTTTCAATTCTATTTTTCCATGAACTTTCTGAAGTCCTCTGTACTCCCCTCCCCCGCCCTCACCAGAGATCAGCGGCCCTGGGTTGACGTCATGTGATGGGTGTGACGTCATGTGATGGGTGTGACGGCTCCACGGAGCCTCGGGCTGCCCCGTGCAGGCCAGCTGTCTCTCCAGCGGGGAAGCAGAGGGCCCTGTTGGAGGGACGCCGGTCATTGCTTTGAGCCCCTCGGCGCCTGGCTGCACGTCTCCACGCGTGGCACAGGCAAGGCCGCTTGTGAGCACCGAGGAAGAGTGAGCCGACCACGAAATGTTCCTCTTTCTTAATAACTTGGACAAAATGCCCAGTGTTCACGAGTGACACGAGTGATTTGAGGGCTGACTCCACTGCCCTCGGGAACAGGTGACGCCCGTGAGAAATTTGCGGTGAAGTTTACTTTGTATGTTCAAGGCCTGTTCCTTCCTTCACTGTGCTCTTTGTTTGGAGATGAGAACTTTCTCTGCATTTGCCTGCAGAAATCAGGAAGATGTGGCTGACGGGGCCAGAGGGAGGGTCTCATCCTGTATCCTGTATCAAAGACCAACACCATGCTCCTTGACTTGCCCCGTTTATGCAACTTTGGTGACCTGCACGTCCACATGCGAGCCCCCTGACACATACGTGTGCCGTGTTTCTCTGTGCCTTTCTCAGCCCCTCCATCCCGCAGCCACCTGTCATGAGAAGGTGGTAAGTGTCCAGAAAGACCCCAGTGAGTCCCTCGGCATGACGGTTGCAGGTGGCGCGTCACACGGCGAGTGGGACTTGCCCATCTACATCATCAGTGTTGAGCCTGGAGGAGTCATAAGCCGAGACGGAAGAATAAAAACAGGTAATGAGCGAGGAGATTAAGGCCTGGGGGCGGCAGAGTATTAAGAGGAACGAGCAGGTGCCTGGGTTAGGAAAGCATGCGAGAGTGGTCTGGCCAGAACAGCTATTGCCGTTGACCATGACTGGTTAGAGCACAGTTGCTAGGCTGTGTTTCACCCCTATCGGTTCATGTAGGTCCACATGGGCCAATGGCTAGTGCTGCCAGAACCTCCAAACGACCCCAGGAATCAACAGGGACTGCAATGGCTAGGGTCAGGTTGCCACTGTTGAATGGCATAGGGTGGCTCCATTCCTCCTAAGTAGTTCTTTGCTGGATTGAGCCTGTGATGAAACTAATTCAAAGATTATTCCATTTTAGGGGATGGAGAGGAGAGACTATGTGAGTGATCTGTACTCAGTGAATATTAGGGGAATGCTAGATACTTTGCCATTGGTGAAAAGTATGTGGCTATGGTAATCTTCCATGTTCTGGGTGGCTTTGGGTAAAGGAAGATAATACCCCCAACTTTCCTCTACAAATATATATTCTTTTTTTAAAGATTTTATTTTCAAATGAAAGCAGAGTTAGAGAGAGAGACAGACAGACAGTGCTTCCATCTGCCGGCTCACTTCCCAAGTGACCACAATGGCCAGGGCTGGGCCAGGCCAAAGCCAGGAGCCTGGAACTCCATCTGGGTCTCCCACACCCATGGCAGGGGCCCATGCACTTGGACCAGCCTCCGCCACTTTCCCAGGCGCCTTAGCAGGGAGCTGGATCAGAAGTGGAGCAGCCGGGACTGGAACCGTATGGGACACAGCTTAACCTGTTGTGACACAGTGCTGTCCCTGCAAATGTGCATTCTGAACTTACTGTCAGCTCAGGTGGCTGAGCACCTGTGCCGTCTAAGGGTTCAGATTCACGAGCTACAGCGTGAAGTTCCTGAAGTACAATCGCACAGGCTGAGCAGCCGCGGGGCAGAACGTGCTACGAGGTTGAGTCCGGAACCCAGAGGGTGCTCGTTTGGGGGTCAGAAAGGACCCAAGGCCTTTCCCGTTTTCTCCTCTTGTCCGTTTACTCCTGCAAGGTTATTCTGTATTTTCCAAAAATGACCTGCGGGGGAGGTAGAAAGACAGAGGGAGATGAAACAACAGAACAGTGAGGATGGGGAAGGTGTCGGTTTTCATTTCTCTTGCTTTCCTGCAAGCTCCTGGGTGGCGAATACGAGGACACACAAGAAATGATTTGCTAGGGACAGACCGTGAGCTAGAGGCTCCCAGATGGGATGTGTGGGGACTGTGCTGCTCCGAGCAGGTGCGTCGCGAGCGGGGGCTGTGCACAGTGAGAAGGGACGTGGCGCTAGCTCACCTCCACCTCGTGAGAGCTCGGCTCCAGGCCCCTTTGCATCTCTGCTCTGGGCCCCTTTGCCGCTCTCGGGGTGGTGTCGCACTCGCTCGTCCCGTCTCTGTTTATTGCCGGGGTCTGCACAGACGAGCGCGCCCCCTCTGGTGCTAGAAACAGGAAACAGAATGCAGGTAGAAGGTGGAAAGTCTGGCTGTGAAGCGGGCCCCTCTTCCTCTGCCTTTACGCGGCTTAGTGTGCTTTAGCAGCGCCCACCCCCGCCTGCACGCCTAGGACCATGCACGCCACGTGACCCAACCTCACACCGCCACGCGTGCCGGTGACACCGCCTCCCTCTGCTTCTGGCCCTCAGGTGACATTCTGCTGAACGTGAATGGCACAGACCTCACCGAGGTGAGCCGCAGCGAGGCCGTGGCCCTGCTGAAAAGCACGTCGTCCTCGGTGGTGCTGAGGGTCTTGGAAGTCAGGGAGCCCGAGCCCCAGGAAGAGGACAGCAGCCCCGGGGCCCTGGACGCCAGCCACGACGCGACCCCCTCTGGTGACTGGGCCCCGTCCTGGGTCATGTGGCTGGGGCTGCCACGGTGAGTCCGCGAGGGACGTCCTGGGTGGGGTGGGGTGGAAGGAAGCTCGTCTCCGAAGGTGCTCTTCCACTTCCCGGGGCTGAGTCAGGCGCCGGCATCTTAATGAGATCCAGTCTCGGTTCTGGCACGGTTTGAAATAATCGTCTTCCTGTTTGTAACGGGAAATGCATGCAGACGTCCCTGGGCGAGAACAAAAGCCTGGAGAGAACACCCTGGGGAGCTTCACACCAAGGAGTTCTCAGGGCTGCCAGGTACAGATGGGCAGGTTGTTCACGCAGCTAGGAAATGGGGCCGGAAATTCACACACCCAAGGGCTGAGCTGCACCTGCCCAGTGGAAGGCTCAGCTGGGTCTGACGCCGGTGGCAGAGCTGGGACCTTGTCCAGAGCAGGACACCCCTGTAGCTTTCCCTCTGCTGCCCTGAGTGGCCCTGGTTGCACACGGAGCAATGCAGCCGGCCGTGCGGTCGTGCAGGTGGGGACACTGCTCGGACCCTCTGTCCTCGGTGCCTGCTGCTAGGGAGTTCCCATCAATCAGGGAGACATAACTGGAGCCTTGCCATGAAGCATGTTTTCCATGGGTTTGCGGAACACACTTCCATCTCTGAATGTACTGCACAGGACTCCGGGAAGGGAAGCGAGACATGTAGTCCCCTTTCTGAGGGTGGGAACAACTCTTCCTCCACCCCCTCCTCTCTTTCTCCCGCCCTCTCCATCACCCTCCGCCTCTCCCTCACCCTTGAACTCAGAGTCCCTGATTCCAGTACAGACTCACCCAGATTCCTTTTGGAGCCTTCCAAAATCTGTGTGTCTTAAAAAAATACTCCTTGGGGCCGGCGTTGTGGCTCGATTGGTTAATCCTCCGCCTGCGGCGCCGGCACTCCAGGTTCTAGTCCCGGCTGCTCCTCTTCCAGTCCAGCTGTCTGCTGTGGCCCAGGAGTGCAGTGGAGGATGGCCCAGGTGCTTGGGCCCTGCACCCACATGGGAGACCAGGAGGAAGCACCTGGCTCCTGGCTTCGGATTGGTGCAGCGCCGGCTGTAGCGGCCATTTGGAGAGTGAACCAACAGTAGGAAGACCTTTCTCTCTGTCTCCCTCTCTCACTGTCTATAACTCTAGCTGTCAAATAAATTAAAAAAAAAAAAAGCAAAAAAAAAATCTTTAAAGAGCTGAAAACTTAAATGTTGAGGCAATTTAAAAATCGTTACACATGTTAGACCTGAGCCTGAAAATTGGGGACTCCCGTATGGGTAGCAGGAACCTGACCCCAGGAGCCACAGCTGCTCTTCCCCACAGCTGGGTTAGTAGGAATCCGGAGCCAGGAACCAGAGCCAGGCATCAAACCAAGCACTCCAATACAGGACGCGTGTAACCGAACCAGGACTTAGCCATCGGGCCAGAGACCACAAACACCACCCCCCAAAACCAGAGTCTGTTCAAACAAGCCTGTGCTGGCTCTGTGTCTGGAAGCGGCTCATCACCCACTCGCGTGGGCGCGCACAGGGGAGGCTCCTTCCTCACGGCCACGAGGGTGCTCCTGTCCCCCTGCACCTGCGGCCGCCCTGCTGTCACTCAAGTGTCCTCTGCACAGGAGCTCTTGCAGGGGCAACTCTGGTTGTCAGGCCCCGGAAGTTCTTAGCTTCCTTCCTCTCCCTGCGGCCACACGAGGCCTCTTCCCAAAGTTCACAGGAGATGGGTGTTGAGAAAAAACCGTGCATGGATCTCAAACTTTCCTGTGACGACATGAATCGATCGTTCCGTGCCCTTTTCCGGGAGCGTCCTAGAAGAAACAGCCCAAAACTCAGAGGCTACGGAAGAGCACGCAGCGGCTGGCAAGTTGTACCCGACCCGGCGACCGCTCTCTGCCGTGTTTCTCCAGGCTCAGAGAGAGGCTGGCCCACATCCTCTGCAGAGGGTCCGCTGTTGCATCCCGGGGTCCTGCTGTGGGGCGTCGGAGCGGCTGTGGAGTGGGCGGTAGGGGCTGCGTTACTGAGCCCACGCACTCCCTCGCTCCCAGGCTGTAAACTTGCGCGTGTCTGTCTGCAGCGTGGCTGCCACGGGTGGGTCTGCCCAGCCGGGTGACCGCTGCCCAGCCGCCACCTCACCTTCCGCTCTGCTGACTGCGCCCAGGGTGTGGGGAAGCCAGGCCCCCTCCTCTCCTCCCCCCGCGTGGGGCGGGTCTTCAACAGCTCCGCTCCCCCGGGTCGTCTTCCTCTGCTGGCTCCCTTGCTTCTCTCCCGGATCCTTGTCGTGCCCTGCTGCCCAGGGTTTCCTGCCTGTTCCCACCGTCCCGCACCGTGTTTGCCGGGTCCACCTTCCTGGCGGCCACTGCGTCTCTACGGTGTTTTTACTTTTCCCTCCTGCTCCTTTCCCTGGTTTCTCCTCTCACCACGTGTTCCTCGACATTCTGTCTCTGCACTGAGCTTCTCTCTCTCTCTCTCTCTCTCTCTCTCTCAGATTTATTTATTTACTTGAAAGGCAGAGCTACAGAGAGAGGTCTTCCATCTGCTGGTTCACTCCCCAGATGGCTGCGATGGCCAGAGTTGGACCAATAGAAGCCCAATAGCCAGGAGCTTCTTCCAGATCTCCCAGGCAGGTGCAGGGGCCCAAGCACTTGGGCCATCTTCTGCTGCTTTCCCAGGCCACAGCAGGGAGCTGGATTGAAGTGGGGCAGCCAGGATGGGAACTGGCAGCCATATGAGATGCTGGCCCTGCAGGCGGAGATTTAGCCCACTATGCCACAGCACCAGTTCCAGCTCCTGTACTCAGGAGTATCTGAGACTCCCAGGCCACGGCTGTTGGCAAACTTCGCTGCCTCCAGCCCTCTTGTCTGTGGCTGGGTTTTCCTGAGGGTGCTTCTCCTTGGTGTTTCCTGTGCCTCCCGCCCCTCCTCCTCTGCTCGCCCCTCTCTGCTGCTGGAATCCGCGAGGCCGACTCTTGACAGCAGAACCGGCTCTTGGTGGCACAGGCTTTCTTGTGTGTTTCCTCTCCCAGGCCGACTGGGGGCAGCCTCACGGGCTGTACACAGCACCTAGCCCCTGCTGACCGCCTCAGCGCCCACCCGCCTGGCGTAGCTGACGGGCCCCCATCGCCTCTCACACACCTTGCTTCTTGGCCAGCAGCAGCCGGCTGTCCTCTCACCTCCTCACCTCCCTGCCTGTGACTGCACTGGGCAGCTCTGAGACGTACCGTGCTCTGCTCGCGATGGGGTTGGCGTTTCTGTATCCAAGTCTCCCCGTGGCTCTTGTGGGCATTTGCGATAGCAGAGAGGCAAGCGTGGTCTTTACTGTGCCGTTTTGGAACTGGAGGTTTGTGCACACCGCCCAGCGGTCCATCTACCCAGCCACGCTCCTGCGTGTGGCTTCCCGTAGGCTCTGGATGGGTGGGGTCTGCTCCCGTCTCCAGTCTGCACTGTTCCGCACTTTCTCTGTGATTGCTCGTGGCAGCGTCGTCGACTTCAAGTGTCCCAGCACGAACGTCGGGCCGCCTGTCACATCAGCAAAAGTCACTTCACTTGAGCTTCTGGAGATGGAGGCCACACGCGTCTCCAGGTCCCGGATATTCCCCTCCAAGCGGCCAGTCTACCCGGTCACACATGTCCCCCTTGTGCTGGCCTGATTTTCAGGACGTGTGCTTGCCCTAATGGAATCTAGCCAGGTGCCCAGCCACTCTGCCAGGGAAGAAAGGTGCTGGAACGTGTTTGCAGGCGTAGAACCTGGACGGCAGCCGCGGTCGGGGCCGCAGGTGTGGAGGACACTCTGGGAAGAGGACCCCAGTGAGCGGGGGGGCTGTGTGCTGGGGCAGCCAGAACAGGCAGTGGTTGCGAAGGAAGACGTAGCTGTGCAGGCTCAGTGCACCGACGGCCAGGCGCGGCCTGAGCTGTCCGAGGTCTCGGACGCCAGCCACTGGAAGGTGGCTCAGGCGGCACTGAGGACTTTGCTGTGGCCTCTGTGGGCTCTCAGTGCCCACGTTCCACATCTGGAGGCCGTTCAAACCATGCCCTCGCCTGGACTCGAAGGCTAGAAGCACACATGCAGCTCAGACCTCCTCTCAAGAATTTAACCCTTCCCTCCCCTGAAACTCTTAAAGCATTCTTTGTTGTTGATGATGATGGTTATTTTTGGCTTTTAAATTTTTTTTAAATGTAAGGTAAATTTCTTGTGTATCACATATACAGGTAGAGGGGCACAGTGATACTTTCCACTCTCCCCTCCTGCCTGCCCACACTCCCACCCTTCCTCCACCGTCCTGTCCTATTCTTATTCTTATTTTGTACAATGATCTGCTTTCAGTTAATTAGTTAATTCATAATATTAACCCTATACTAAGAAAAGAGTTCAACAAATAGTAAGTGTGGGGAGCAAACCGGACTGGACTGAGTTACTGGAATTAAGACTTATTCTATGCATCTGCTCTCCCACAATATGGCGCTAGGAGAGAAGTAAACAGCTTCCGCACAGCTGCCTCCAGTTCAACCAATAAACTGTAGGACTTGCTCCTGATTGGAGAGCAGCGTACTCGGCATGTGGGCAGCCGAGTTAGGATTGGCGGAGGAGGACTATAAAGGAGGAGAGAGACGGCATGCACCAGGAACATCTAAGGGGAACATCTAGCTGAAGGAACACCTGTGCAGCCCCCCGAGAAAGCCGGCCGGCGGTGTGCTGCTCCCCTGCGGAAGTGGGGAATGTGGCCAGGGGGAACTGCCCTTCCACGGAGGTGGAAGGGATAGTAGCCAACCCGGGAAGAACCAGCAGCAAACCCGGGGAGGGCCGAGCAGACGAAAAGAACAGCGCAGGGTCCTGTGTCGTTCCTCCACGAAGAGGGGGAGTGACAGTAAGAAAAAAAAACACTGGTCTTCAACAGTAGAGGCGAGCGCTGTAAACAATCATAGAATCTCAAAATGTGAATTTCACCCCTAAACATATTTTAGACACTCTATTAGTTACCACAGATCAGGAAAAACATGGGATTCGTCTTTTTAGGACTAGTTTATTTCATTATAAT